GGTCACACCTCCTCCTGCCCCCCATCCCCCAGTTACCTGAACCAGCTGGACCGGATCACGGCCCCCGGTTACCTCCCCAACGAGCAGGACGTGCTGCGATCCCGAGTGAAGACCACGGGCATCATCGAGACCAAGTTCTCTGTCAAAGACCTGAATTTCAGGTGGGTGGGTGACACCCCTCCCCCCCCATGACACCTCTCCCTCCGCCAAGGCCTGACATGGGGAAGAATTTTGGGGTGAACCTGATGCTCCAGGGACCACCAACCCCACTTGGACCAGGGATGGTCGGTCACTGCATCCCTGATGCCGCTGAGGACGGAGTGGTGGGAACATGAGGTGGGGGGGGGAGGGACCAGCTGAGTCACCACCCTCCCCACCCCCCTCCTTGTCCCCTCCCCAGGATGTTCGACGTGGGGGGGCAGAGATCGGAGCGCAAGAAGTGGATCCATTGCTTCGAGGGGGTGACCTGCATCATCTTCTGCGGGGCGCTGAGCGCCTACGACATGGTGCTGGTGGAGGACGACGAAGTGGTGGGTCGGGGTCCAGGAGGTGCCTGGGAACAGCTCAGCATCCTTGGTGGGGAGGAACTGGGTGCTCCGCAGGGGGGAGGACAGAGGGAGGGGGACCAATGCCCAGTGCTGGTTGATGGTCTGGGTGACGCAGGGAAGGGGTGGGAGATACAGGATGGAGCTGACTCCCACCCAGTTGCACCCAGTAAATGCGTCAGCGCTTGTTTTGGGGCATGAACAGCCCAACCGGGCCGGAATGAAGGTCCTGGGGCAAGAGGGTGGTTCCCACAAGGAAAATGCCTGGATCTTCCGAGCAGCCACGGGCAAAGCAGCTCCCAACCCTCACCTCCTTCCGAGAACCTCCATCCCACCGGGGATCACTCCCAGATGCTGGAAAACCACGTGAGCGGACCCAAAGGAGCTGACCCCGGCACAGGAGGGGAGGAAAAGATGTGAAACCATCTCAAGGAAGGAAAAATCTCGCCCGGAGGCACCTCTCGCCCTCGGAGGTGGGCAGAAAAGCAGCAAGAAGGGGCAGGTCTCACCTTTTTTCGCGCGCCGGTGGGAAAGGACAGCACGAGGGGGTTAAGCAAAGCCCTCCGGGCCCCCAACCCCGCCGCACCGGGGGAAAGCGGCTGCAGGGGCGAAGGTCTGGAGAGGAGGAACACGACAGCACCGAGACGGGTCATTTCTCAGAAGAAATAAGGGGTGAAGACGAGCGGAGCAGGAGAGGCTGGAAGACTGAGAAGAGGGGAGACCTGAAAGAG